CAAAGAAAAGAGTACAGAACTGGTATATAGTATAATTTTCTTTCTATGGCAGTGAATGCTAGACAATCTCCTCACAGATGAAAACAGTCCGGGGTATGGCGATAAACTACATCCGGTAGCCATCTCTTAATTCTATTTGTTTCCAGTATCCACCCTGACCCGGAGCGGTAGCAGATGTTAGGGTCCCATCTATAGGGAAATACTGAAACTCAAGAAAAAAAAAACATGAAAGTATAAAATACATTTTTACAGTAAATCCACTAGCAATACATTTTTATACAAAAAGGGGGGAAAAATTAGCAACAATATTTATTTATAGCAAAATTAGATTTTAAACAGGTTTTTAAAGCAGCATGACGAGTATTTTAGCTGTAGCTGAAGGCATACAATTGCTTTCAAAATATATTTAGTTGAAAATGTTCGGGAAGCAAGGTGGAGTAATGGATAAAGGCTCAAATTTAAGAATCGGAGAGCCGAGTTCGAATTCCAGTTCCGGATCCATTACATTCACTTACGTGCTAATACCCCTGGGAAAGGTGTGAATCATCTTCATCTCACTTTCGGAGTACAGACTGGATTTTATAAGTATCCTATTCCTTCTGTTCTATACCTTCTATTCTTAAGAGAAGGAAAAACTTCAAAACCCACTAACTTGCACAATTGTGCCTGCAGTAGACACGCAGAGCCTGAGCGCTAAAAAAATAAGATAAAATAAAATTCTCTCTATATTTCTGAGATGAGGTATTATGTACACTATTTACATTATTCGAACTATTGTCCTCATCTTTGTCACCATATTTATTACAACGTTTCGGGCTTTCAGTATCTGTCTATATTTCTGAGATGAGGTATTATGTACACTATTTACATTATTCGGACTATTGTCCTCATCTTTGTCGCCATATTTATTACAATGTTTCGGCCTTTCAGTATCTGTCTATATTTCTGAGATGAGGTATTATGTACACTATTTACATTATTCAGACTATTGTCCTCATCTTTGTGGCCATATTTATTACAACGTTTCGGCCTTTCAGTATCTGTCTATATTTCTGAGATGAGGTATTATGTACACTATTTACATTATTCGGACTATTGTCCACATCTTTGTCGCCATATTTATTACAACGTTTCGGTCTTTGTACGCTCCGGCCTTCTTTAGGTGATTGGGATGTTGAACTGTGTGTTCGCTATCCCGTGCAGCTGCGGAAAGAAATATAAAGGGGAGACAGGCCACTCCCTTAAGGTAAGTCTACAAGAAAACCAGAATGCTGTAACACGAGGGGAAGTGGAAAATCAGGCGTGGCTGACCACATATGGAGAAAAAAGAGAGATCACCGCCCTCTGTGGGATCAGGTTGAGATCATAGACATAGAACAACATTGGAAAATCCGTAAACTTAAGGAATCAGCACATATGCTAAGGCCACAAAAATCCGCTGAGCCGACCAAGCATAGAAATGAATACAATATGAGAACCAGTAATAAGGTGTGTCAGAGAAATGCAATAATAACAACAAATGTTGCAACATGAGCTCTGGTAAAAACATCCAATGCTAACAGCAAAAATTGCAATATGAGCACTGGTAAAAATGGTTGCTGAAGACATTAGGTTTATAATACCCAGAAATCCATACAAAGATGTCCTCAAGGACACATGGCACAGTGAATAAAGGCGTTAGTTAGATCCAATGACAGGACCCAAGAGTGTGAGTTCAATAACCTATTAAGAGAGTGGAGAACTTTTACAGCGGAATTAACAGGAGATAATTGATCACTGACATCCATTAGACATGGCACGTGGAACTAGAACAGTCTACCTCAGTGAACGAAATAAAGGGTTCAGTTCGACATTCCAACCAATTAATTTTTTTTTTTTCTTGCATATTACCAGATTCACTTGAACAGATCTTTACAGTGATGAACCCGAAATGCGTTTTGCAAGTCGGGAATACTAGAATCAAGCAAACGCGGAAGTTTAAATATCGGGGAAGCGACATAACAGAAGGATGGTAAGTGCGACACTGAGATCCGTAGACATATTGGGATGGCCAAGGACACATTCCAAGAGCTGGGCAGAGTATTGCAAGACAGGAGGATTTCTTAACAAAGGATAGCACAGAAAAGAGTACTGAGCTGCTACGTGACATCTGTCCTTTACGGCAGCGAATGTTGGACGATTTCCACAAAGATGAAGAAGAGACTCGAGGCGACAGAGATGTGGTTCTACATAAGGATGCTAAGGATATCTTGGACCAATGTGTGGGCAACGATGAGGTCTTAGAGATGTTTCAAACAAGGAGGAGGCTTATGCTTAACATCAGGAAGAGCCAGCTTAAGTTCCTGGGACACATAAATAGGAAAGAGGACCTAGAGAATCTGATACTCACGGGTCGAATAGAGGGGAAGAGATACAAGGGAAAGCAACGCGTGACATATCTAACGGCCTTAAGTAGATATCAGAACGTGGTCCGGGGGGAGGAAGCAGAGGGAGGGAAGTT